TACCAAACGTACTGTGTTAGGAAAATGATGACTATTGCCATTCGAAGTACATACTATATTTTTTGCTGCCGAAATAAGGAATGGGAAAGTCCGGACTTGTTAACTATTTGAAATATCCGGACTTGTTAACTATTTGAAATATCTGATTGTCTTGTATATTTATATATTTTCATGTATTCTGTCTTATCATTTTTATTAGTTCATATAGTTGTGATTCAAATAGCCAATTGTAAGTTACCTTAAATTAGCGAGATTTACAATTGTATATATATAGTATATAACAAAATTATTAAAGTTTCCATTATTATTATTATTATTATTATTATTATTATTATTATTATTATTATTTTTATTATTAACGTCGCAGAGTCTTATAATTAAGTCGATTTGGAGAGATGCTTTCCAGGGTACAGCGAAAGATTGGCACTCGGCAGTTGACAAACTCCCTAAAAACATATACAACTTCGTAACTAGATATTTAAATAACACCCTACCTACATTAACAAACATGGTTTTGTGAAAGAAAGCTCAAAATAATCTGTGTCATTTCTGCTTGAATGTGCAAACACTACAACATATAGTGTCTTCTTGCAAAACATCCCTAGACGAAGGTCGATACACATGGAGACACAATTCAGTGCTGAAACACCTAGCAACGTACATATCTAGTGTCAGAAGGGACTTTCACGTTTATGCAGACATTTCTGGTTTTGATAATCCATCTGTGATCACAGGCTATAATGACCGACCAGACTTGGTAATATCAGACAACAACCAAAATATATATGTTATTGAATTGACAATCGGCTTTGAAACTAATATGGCAAAAAACTGTTTAAGGAAAAGGGAACGATACAAGGATCTTTGTAACTTTTTAAGAGAACGATTTAACAAAGTAACGTATTTTAACTTATGCATGGGCGCGATTGGAGTTTTAAGTCATGAATGTAAACAGTTCTATGACTTTTTGGACCGCGAAGTAAGATTAAGCGATATGCAAAGAAAATTCATCATTAGAAAACTAACCGGCTGCTGCATAAGGACAAGTTATTATATATTTTGCTCTAGAAACAGACAATGGTCTTGCCCTGAACTTTTATATTGGTAGGATTCATGCTGTGATGTGTATGTACAGTTATCTTATTTGACACTGTCTACGTTGTTACCTTACGAACGTATTTTAAAATAACCATTGTAATAGCATTTCTGTAGAAATTCCATTTTGATGATTTGTAAATATTTTAAGCTTAGTTTAACATTGTATTCTTTTCTTAATCTTTTGTACCATAATGTAGCCAGGTTGCCTATAATACGTTAGTGAGAGCTGGTTACTAATATTTGTATGAAATGAAATAAAATGTGTTTACATTATTATTATATATTATCTGTTTCATATTCCTAGCTGGATTCCTAGGTTATCTGATCCACAAGTGCAATTTGACCTTGACCCGCCTTCTTACCAACAAGTTACTGCTGTTATTCGTAAAATGAAAGCATCTGGTTCTCCTTGTCCTCTCGATCAAATATCAATTATATGCTTTAAGCGATGTCCTTACCTAAGAACTTATTTAACTGATCTAATACGCGCCGTCTGGCTTTCAGGATCTATCCCGAGTGAATGGAAAAAGCTTGCACTATACTGATTCATAAGAAAGGCAGCACGAGTATTCCCTCAAATTTCCGACCGATCACACTCGAATCTATACCGCTTAAAGTATTTACATCATGTCTACGTAACGAAATGTACTCCTTTCTCACCGCCAATAACTTTATAGAACATAACATACAAAAAGGCTTCACCCCAAATCTGTCGGGTACTATGGAACATACTGCGCAAATGGCTAATATAATCAACAAAGCTCGGATAAAACAACGTTCACTTGTCATAACATTACTTGACCTCAAAAACGCCTTTGGAGAAGCTCATCATAACTTAATCCAATCTGTCCTTGGCTATCATCACATCCCTAATCACATGAATAATTTAATAAAAAGCTTATACATTGATTTTAAAACTTCCGTAATTACTTCTGAGTTCCGTACCCATTTTATACCTGTTGGCCGTGGTGTTTTGCAAGGTGACTGTCTTAGTCCTCTACTATTTAATATGTGTTTCAACACATATATTCAACATATCAAAGCTGAAAAGTACCGCCAGTTCGGTTTCTCCCTCCAACTCCTTAATCCAATCCACTGGTTTCAATTTGCTGATGATGCTGCGGTTATTACTGGTCAGGAGTCGGAAAATCAGCATCTCCTTAATCGATTCTCTATCTGGTGCCAATGGTCCAACATGGTTGTTAGAGTTGATAAATGTAGCACATTTGGCATCAAAAAAGTTTTATCAAAATCTGCCCAGTACTTGCCGAAGCTTTTGATCAATAAGGATCTCATACCAACGATTAAGACTGGAGAATCATTTGAGTATTTGGGACGACACTTCGACTTTAGCATGACTAATGAAAAACATAAATCTAAACTGATCTCCCTCATTGATGAACTAATGTCCGAAATAGATCTTAAACCTCTTCACCAAAAAACAAAATTTTACTTTACAGTCGTTATGTTTTGTCGAAACTATCCTGGCATTTTACTGTTGCTACGATATCTAAAACTTGGGTAGTCGAAAATATCGATTCTCCGGTGAACAAGTACGTCCGAAAATGGCTGGAAGTACCTATATCTGGAACATTAAGTAACATCTTTCTAACCCGTAATAAGTTTGGTCTAAATATCATCCCTGCATCCGTCAAGTTCATTCAGTGTCAAACAGTTCTACGCAATGCCCTAAAAACATCTCCAAACGATTCAATTAACGAACTGTGGAAGTCAACTAATAATCATATTAACATTCAATACGATAGCTACAATTCAACTAAAGAAGTTTTAAAAACTTTCCATTCTCAACAAGAAAATAAACTTAGGGACCGTTTGAAATGTCAAGGTTCCTTTTTCGAAAATGTTTCTAAATTCTCCCTATCACAACTTAACGCAATCTGGTCGGTATCGCAATCAAAGCTACCAAAGAACATTTTCAACTTTACAATTCGCTATATGAATAATACCCTTCCTACCCGAAAGAACCTCAGTAGATGGGGAATTTCATCAAGTTCTGACTGCTCGTTCTGCTTACACCCTGAATCACTTCTGCACGTTGTTGCCGGTTGTCAACATTACTTGGAACGATTTACTTGGAGACACGATTGCATACTAAAGTTTCTTGCAAAAACCTTTCAAAGTTTAAACGAATGCAAATTACTTGTTGATCTTCCTGGATTTGAAAGCCCCTCGATTATTACGGGCGATGAATATCGTCCTGATTTATTTGTCTCCACTTCAGACAAACACCTCTACGTTGTTGAACTTACCGTAGGCTTTGAATCAAACCTCACAAACAATGTTAACCGCAAGAAAGCTAAATATAAGAACCTAATTAGAGAACTAGATCAAAACTTTACATCTGTTAAATTTATAAATCTTTCAGTCAGTTCGCTAGGGGTGTTTGACAAAGAATGCCATACATTTGTAAAAATGCTAAATGAGTTAGGACTGGATAATCAACACCAACAATATTGTATCAGAAAAATGATATCTATTGCCATCCGATCAACGTACTACATATTTTGCTGTAGAAATAAAGAATGGGCAAATCCCGAACTTATGAACATTTAAAGTAACTATTTCTATAAATAATTAAAAAATTTTGTATATAAAACTATAACCAAGTATAAGTGATTCAAGTAGTCAATTGTAGGTTACCTCAAGAAGTGAGATTTACAATTGTATATATCTATAAATGTTCTATTAATAAAGTTTTCATTATCATCATCATCATTATTATCATCATCATCATCATTATTATTATCATCATCATTATTATCATCATCATCATCATTATCATCATCATTATTATTATTATTATTATTATTATAAATGGTTCCTTATATGTGGTTGAACTCACCACTGGTTATGAGACAAACCTCAAAAACAACGTAAAACGGAAGAAGGATAAATATAGAGAATTATTGAGACAGCTAGGTAAAAATTTTAACCAAGTTAAATTTGTAAATCTCTCCATCAGCTTTTTAGGTATTTTTGCAGAAGAATGTTATACATTTTTAGACATGTTAGATAGTATTGGTCTTGACAAAAACCACCAAATGTACTGCGTTAGGAAAATGATGACTATTGCTATTAGAACTACATATTACATTTTTTGTTGCCGAAATAAGAAATGGGAAAATCCGGATTTACTAACAATTTGACTTATCTCATTGTATATATATATATATATATATATATATATATATATATATATATATATATATATATTGCATGCACTTTGTTCTGTTATTTTAGTTTAGTATAATTGTGATTCAAATAACCAACCGTAAGTTACCTTTATGAGAGAGATTTACGATTGTATATGTATGTAAAGAAAAACATTTAATAAAGTTTCCATTATTATTATTATTATTATTATTATTATTATTATTATTATTATTATTATTATTATTATTATTATTATTATTATTATTATTATTATTATTATCATTATTATCATTATTATTATTATTATTATTATTAATTTATTTCTCCAAAATGACTTTTCAGAAATAATTACAATCGTAAAATGAAGATGAAATACGTATTAATATGAGTTTATTTGAAGACCTATATATACTAATATATCAAAATATACATTTGTTTATGGGTATAATAAATCAATTATTGATAATATTCTAAAATATAAATTATTTTGAGTTGTTCCAGCACTCTTTATGCAGTATCTCTCTTACTAGTTTTTTAAAAACTCCAATACTTGAACTATCTTTAATGTTATTGTCTAAATTATTCCATAATTTGGTTGCTCTATATAAAAAGAGCGCTGCATGACCAGCAGCTGTCCGATAAAATGGGATATCTAATTCATCCATTTGTCTTGTCGCCCGACCATGAATCTGGGATCTAGGTGTGAATATTCTTACAAGGTATGATGGTGCTAATCCTTTAAGACATTTATAAGCTATAACAGTATCTTTATATTGCAGCATATAAGAAACAGGTAGGCAGTTTAGTTGTTGTAGCACGGGTGTATAATATGATCATACTTTCTCGTGCCTGTGACAATTCGTGCGCAAAATACTGGACAGATTGTAGTTTGGCAATATTTTTCTTAGACGTATTTGCCCACACAGATGAACAATAATAAAGTTTGCTGAAGACCAAGGCGCTTATGATCACAATCAAGGTGCGGTTGTCTAAAATATGTTTAACGCGATTAATCTGGCAAAGAGACTTTGTACATTTTGAAACCACGTGGTAATATGCTCGTCATAGCTCAGACATTCGTCAAATTCCATTCCCAAATCTCGGGCTGAAGATACCGGTCGTAGTTCCTTTTCGAGAAAAGTCACTCGAAAGTCTTGCACATGATTGAGTATTTGTGATGTACCAAACAGAAGAAGTTTAGTCTTTTCGGGATTGGCAAGTAGGCTATTTGAGCAACACCAGGCAGCGATTCTCCTCAGATCATCCGTAAGCTGAATTTCAGCAACATTAATGTCTTTGTACGAGAATGGCAAGTAAATCTTAGAGTCATCTGCATACGATTCTATAGGACATACAATGGGAGTAGTTGGAAGATCGTTTATATAAATACTAAATAACGCTGGACCAAGTATTGATCCTTGAGGCACACCGTGTGTTATCGCACGAGCTTCTGATAGTATATGACCAATCCTCACAGACTGACTTCTGTCTAGCAATGTATGTTCAATGCTGTCGAACGCTTTCGACAAGTCTAATAACACAACTGCAGTCAATTCTTTCCTGTCCATAGCATCAAGAATCATATCCAAACAAGTATATTAATTTAAGTGTAAGTCTGTACATGTTGTCTACTTTATATACCATTTTTTTAAGCAATGTATTCCGGACTAACAACTCCCATGGCAACGCGTTTTGTGCTATACAAATCGTACAGAAAAGCAAAGTGCTAACTTTTTAATTTTTTTGAAAAGTTGTGCAACCATGGTGCAGGACTTGTGCCCGAACCTTTGGTGATAAATATACGTAGAATTTGGAAATATTCCTACAGTTTTATTGCTGCCAATTTTATTCTTTCAATTTTTCTATTATTTTTATTTTACAATATTTTTTTAACTATTTTCTTCTACATACATGTACTTCCCAAAGGATTGTAAGTTTAAATTTAGTACCCAATCGAAATTTGCCACGAGAATTCTCAGAAACATAAATAATGAAATATAAATGGCGGCGAGGGTTATGGTAGAAGCAAGCAGCAATGCACAGGTCGTGGAACATCCTAACTTGTAAAACATATTGCGATCACTATTAATGTTTAATATATTGTTATAAACTCAATCGTGCATATTGGATAAAATTGTAAGCACACGAGAACATCTGCTACAGCCAAATTTCCAACCAAGTATGATTGTCCCCTTCTTTTCTTTGCTCACGAAAATTGTATAAATCATAATGGTCATATTGCCAAACCAAATTTCGAAACCATGATTATCTTTCTTGAAGGATATTGAAGAAGATAATGGCCATCTATTGAAGGCCACAGCGCGAATGATAAACTGATAAAGTGCACAGCTGGCAACAATTCGTATATTGATTGCACTTAGCTTATAACAAATATTGAATAAATCAAATAATTATATAACTATATGCTGCACGTTTATACAAGAATAATATATGAAGTAAAATAAAATCATACAAGTTCTTCGAATCACAGGCCTGTCTCTTTGAATAACGTATTATAACAATGGATTTACAGAGAAAAAATTGCAAATGAAGATCAGTCTGGATGAAATATCAGTATAGAGAGGTCTTCGTGGGGAATTTCCAGAGCTAGCCGGGGAGCATTCATGCAGCGAGAAATAAAACATATGATCTCAACCATGAATCAAACCTGTTGTCCCGCAATTCCAATCGTGTGTATAAGTTTTAATACAAAGTTGGACAATATTGACCTCCAAATTAATCTTTGCGAAATCCATCAACCATCCAATCATATGAAACCGCAGACTACAGCGACGTGAAAGACATGCAACAGCGCGAAATTTCAAGCATTCAAATGACGTTCGATCTCAAATTCATTAATAACTCATGAGTAATTAAGCGAATAGCATGTAAGCATTCCGTCACAAGATGCTGTTTGGATACCACAGTTAAACACCGTCAGACATAGCACCACAAGAGTTTAGCCGCATACGTAGTAAGATATTTGATGAAAAATAAATCATAAAATATCTTAATTACGCATGCAAAATTGCTTGAATAGAATTCCTAATTACGTTATGCTTGGTTAAGAATTGTATTTAAATCAGCAAACGAAAACATTCCGTTACGTCTCGATTCCTCTTTCCTCCGCAGAAGCTTTTAATGAATATGAAATTCGAAGGAATTGAAATTGCGCTAGATCGGAATCTGGTATGAAGATAACCGCTGAAAATCGGTGCGTGGGCGAGGGGAAGGGAAGGAAAAAATAGCGGAAGCCTCTGCCCGATTTATGTCGATATCTGTGACAAATTGGCGATATCTGTAGCATCCGTATATTATCTGAACAATCCATTCTGTTTGTTTCTCAACAATACTTTCTGTTTATTTCATAATGTGAAGACATTTTGGATAATGATCTGTTGGCCAACGTATATATTTTGGTATAATATTGTGTTTAATAATAACAGTCTTAGGCCTACTCTGGGGCGGTAAATCGCCTTAAATCGCTGCGATATAGTGCGATTTTGGGCGATTTTAGGCGATTTAAGCAAAAACTGGGACTTTCAAGCACTGCGATTTAGTGCGATTTTAGGCGATTTAAGAAAAAAATTTTAATTTTAGGGATTGCAATTTAGGTGTTTTCAAAGGAATTGAATTCTATATTTTGCTCCGGTTTCCTCCCACAGGGCAAAATTGGCAGGGTGGGTTAGGATAAACACAGTTAGGAAAGTAATATCATATCCTCATTGTTGTAAAGATAAATAGTCTAGGCTAACATAAGTAATCATAGTACTTGATGTAATCGATCACTGAAAAGCCCCAATGTGGGGAGTGAGCTGAATAATAATGTAATGTTTCCACACACATATGCATTGTATGAAGCAAAATACAATTATTAGAACATGTATGTACATTTTATATAAAGCTAGGTTAACTATTGTATTTAACCTGATTCACATATAAAGCTCAATATTCATGAACTTTTCACCCATTCTCTCTATTTAAAAGCCATTGGGGTTCATCTTGGGGGTCATAGCAGGGTGTTAGCTAGCCCATATGCTGTCCGTTTGACGGACTCTTCCCAATTGAGGGCTTTCCCAACTGGGTCTACTGGAAAATTAGCATGTGTCCCCCAAAATTTTAATGGTCGGGCGAAAATCAATGCGAAATTGGTCGAAATTGGGGAAATTTTTAAATTTCAATATTCTGTGGAAAAATTTTCGGATTTGGCGGAAATTACGGAATATTTCTTTGATATCTCCTGAAAATTTTTTTTGGTGACCCCCCACCCCCACCCCCCTCCCGCTCGCCAAGAATTTTGGGAAAAATATTCAGCTAAGTCCAGTTAAAACTTTCCCAATTTACGTTTAACGGACAAAATTTTTTTTTCTGGCTAACACCCTGCATAGCTACATTTATATACACCACAAATATTGTAAACAGTTAATATACTCTACTTAAGGGGCATGCACTACACATATCCAGTTAAAATTGCAAAATATAATAAATATTTGATTTCCAAAAAAATCACAAGGGGTAGGGGGTAGAAACACACAAATAAGTGTATTTGTACAGTATAACTGAATAGGCTATAATCCCATAATTTACCTTGTCACCCTTGTAAGTGAAATTGTCTTGTTTTGTATCATATCAAAACTTCTTTATTTAGCTTGCATTTTATTTAAACTGTTTCAATCTCGTGCTTTCTTCATGCTACAAACATATTTATAAATTTTTTGATATCACATCATATGATATCCCAGTGCCATATCCAGAAACAGTATCGTCACGCATTCGGAAACTGTCGGCGTAATGCCGTAATGTTTAAATTACATGAAGTATATCGTATATAAATGGTAGGAATTCTAAGTTATTTTAAAATTAAAACCAAAATAGTACAGCGTTAATTGTTAAACAAATGGCGCACTACCTTGGGGTTTTTAGGTTCTGCAAACAAACAACACCAAAAGATCTATTGTATGGTATGTAAGATGTAATCATTGTTTTAATGTTTATTGTATATACAGGTCTGGAAAATTTAATAGACGAGAGTTGCAAATCGCTCATAACCTCACGTATATTATTCGTTTGATAGCGAGTCAATTAGCGACTATAATTATAACTAGGAGCTAGAGTATAACCATGCACATGTCGAAGTACAACCATTGTATACAATGCAGTGCTCGATCTTACATGCAACAGTGCACAAATTACACGATGACTTTATTATATAAATCAACACTCGTACTCATTGACTTTCGTAGTTTCCTACTGTACGTTGTTCTAATTAAAGCCTGGTTCACATATGTCTGCGATGTGTCGGCGGGCTATTGTCTTAGCAGTTCAACCAAATAATTCACAAAAGAATGCATCAACAGCTGTAAACAATGACGTCGCAGGCATATCGCAGACATGTGAACCAGGCTTAACAGCAATATAGCTAGATTATAGATTAATTGGAAAATTAAACGAGACTTACCTGTAAGTTGACGTTTGATTGGAATTCTATCACATGGCACATAGAGTCAGGAGATTACATGAGATAGCACGGCGCATGCGCGGGTTCATTCTTTAAAGCATTTTGCTGGGTTCATCAGTACAAATACACACAGTGATATTGATATTACCAATACACCCAGTGATAAACCCAAAGTAGGGACATGGGCATTATAATATGTACATATATTATACATCTGATGATGCAGGGTGGGCATGTAATCTCCTGACTCTATGTGCCATGTGATAGAATTCCAATCAAACTTCAACTTACAGGTAAGTCTCGTTTAATTTTCCAATTCTATCACATGGCACCGAGTCAGGAGATCCCATGAGACTTTAAAGCCCTGATGTATCCAGCAATGACATATACCAAATTTAGGCATGAGACATGGTGAACAAAACCATATTATTATCAACTCAACATGTTGTAAGTACTGCCTCAGTCATAGTTATATCAGAGGCTACAGGCTTATTATAGTATTTTTGAAATGTACTGTCTGAGCTCCAACCTGCTGATTTTATCAATATGTCCAATGGTACACTTTGGTAAGCTTTCGATGTGGCAGCCGCTCGAGTACTGTGTGCCGAGTATACTGTGGTGTCAATCCCAGCATTATCAAGGACAATTTTAACCCATCTTGATATTGTGTCTCTTGACACAGGTTGATATGGTTTTTGATAGCTTACAAAAAGTTGCTTATTATCCCCACGTACACTTTTGGTTCTTTTTAGGTACTCTCTTAAAACTAAGATAGGACAAATATTTTTGTCAGGTGTGTACTGCTCAATCTTGAGGATCGTAGTCCCTGATCCTGGCTTACTAGTCTTCATATGCTCCAGAACTTGAAACTCGCATGAGGTCTCGCTTAAGGTCATCTCACTGAGACTGAGACTAAGACAGTGTATTGTTTGACCTCGCTGCCCTGTTACCAGTAACAATAACATAACTAACTTCAACGTCAAATTTTTTAGTGTCTGTTCTTCATTGGGTGTAAAAGTTCCCAGATACTTTAAAACCACAGAGACATCCCATATGGAATTGTACTTAGGTTTTGGTTTCCGCAGTTCAAATATACCCTTCATAAACCTGACAACTATATGATGG